GCTTCCCCCTCCCTCCTCAACAGTCCACTCAGGGATGATCAGACTCGCATGGACTGGCGCATTTATGCCAACCAAGCCACAGGAAACATAAACTACATAAAGGTCTGCTGACCTTTCATAGACAGGTGATCCTGCTTTGGCCACATACTAGCTGTGATCCTGGGAAGTCACTTAACTTCTCTAAGCTTGTTTCATATATAATAAAGCTGCCGTGAAGACTAAGTGAAGCAATGCAGGCCATGCAAATGCTCCTGGAATACCAGCCTAGCCTTGTTATGTAGGCATATACCTCATGTTATTTATTACACTTCCCTTCCCTGCATGTCGCAGGTTTTGTATTCTTTACAAATCAAAGGTAAAACCCTCCACCAGCAAAAAGATGACTTGCTTAATTGCAACACTATTTCAGTGCTTGGGAACCAAACCCCCAATACCTCTGAGATGTGCAACTACCCCCGAAACCCGCTGCCCAGGCTGCTACCTCTGCAGATGAGAGGATGTGGTTGAGTATTAAGTGAACACCACTGGTTGCTGGCTGCAGCTATATGAGATGGTCTCAGCCCCGTTTTGTGAATAAGACTGAGGCTCAGATATAATAAATAAGTTAACCAAGGAGACACACTCAAGAAATGGCAGAGCAGGGATCTGAACTCAGGACTGTGATTCCAGAGCCAAGATGCTACCTCCCCAGATCATGGATCAGAAGATTTCTTGAGCTTAAAATTAAGGCCAAGCAGTTTGATATTCTCAAAGCAATCTTGGTAATTTTCCCTGTATAGTCTAAATGAGCCAAGGCACTTTACTGAGCACTGAAACCCTTTCCCAAATCAGGGCCAGTCAACACCAGCCAGTCACTCTCCTCCGGCCCGCTGGTTTCCTGCAACTTGTCATTCGAGTCACAGTACCACTGAATGCCCAACAGCAGCTCTCGTGCAGCTCACGCCTCCTAAGGGGAATCTCAGGAGCGGATTTAAAGGCCTTCTTGTCTTTCCTAAGGGTAGATGAGAAGCCGATTCTAAGCGCTGGGCACTGGAGACGTGCAGGCCGAGCTGAACCCCACTCCCTGCCACTGTCACTGTCCCTATCCCCTCTTGTGGCACTGAGCACATGTTTTAGTCTGCAGTGATGTCGGGTCCCACTTCCAAGCAGTTCCTTAGGGGCAGAGACTGGTGTGGAAATCTTCTAGACTCAGCAACAGCAGCCGTTCTGCCAACACGGCCACGGACGGTACCCAGGAAGCAGGGGCTCCCGGCCAGGGGCAGCTAGCTCAGCGGCTTTTCTAGTCAGGTGCTCACAGGTGGTCAGAGGAGGGCTGTGGGGGGGGGGGGGGGGTGGTTCCAGAGACACTTTGGCTACCATTTGGGGAGGGCAGATACCTGGTCTGAATGTCTCCTCCCCTGCCACCCCTGTGGGTGGGAGGGATGATCCTCTGAAAGAAAATCGGGACCCTGACAAGAGGGGAGTGGATTCTGGGTGGCCAAACACAGCAGTGTCCATCACAGCTTTGTTGCCTGGTAAAGTATCTGAATGGACAGCGTGAAAACACAGTTACTCTCAGCTCCCCCCTCCAGCCCGAGGCCCCCACACCCACACATCCCACACTCTGCGCCTGCCTTCCCCCAGCCACCGGGGGCACAGAGCTGCACCCAGTTGTGCACCCCGGGCAGAACGGACCATGGGAAGGGGCCACAGGGTCTAGGCACGGCTCTGGCCTGGCCCACTTGAGAGCCGAGGAAGGCTGTTTGCTCTTCTGAAAAATAGAAATAGAAGTGGTCACCAATAGCAAAGTCCAAGTGACATGTGGGAAGATACTTTCTTTACAAAGTAACGTTTCCAACCACAGCCTACCACAGCGAGGGGGAGGAAAGGGGTTTGTGGAAGAGGAAAGCCAACAGAGGCCTCATCAATGATGAATGCTTTAGTGAATAAATAATTCAGAGCTTCGGGGATCCTTTTAGAAACTGTGTGTTCCTACGCTGCTCTGCCTGGTGAAAATGTTTTTCCAAAGGAGCTACTCCAGAATCAGAGGCCTGGGATGAGCCCAGAGATGCAGGAAGACCTCCTGGTGTGCTGTCCGCTCCAGCAGCCCAGGGCCAAGTCCAGGGCCCAGGGGGTGTGGGTACCGCTGAGCTCCCAGAGGACAGCCTCAGCCGTCAGAGTTCATCCCAGCTGGCCCCTCCACTCTGGGGCATCCCCGACCAGCTTCCTCCACTGGCCTCTTCCATGCCTGATGCTCCGTGGCGCCTCCCCCAGCTACCGAAGGAAATGGCAGTTTGTCTCACCTTATTTCCACAGGTGGGTGTTTTCCTGTCTGCCTCCTATACTCCTGAGGTCAGGACTGTGTTCTGTCCACTCCAAAACACAGTGCTTAATACTATTAAATAGGTATCACCACATTTTCTTTAAAATCACTTTTTTTAAGTAAACTTTTTATGAACAGAAATGTTCACAAAACATATGCGTGCAGCTGGATTAATTCACAAAGTGAACAGACATGTACAAGCAAATAGAAATGACCAGCACCCCAGAGGTCCACCGCCCCTCCAGTTTAACACTATCCTAACTTCTTCCATCGTAGACAGCTTCTCCAGGGCTGGTCTCAGTCAGGGGTGGGCCTCAGGTGTGGCGGGGAGACAGGTGAGGGAGAGGAGAGGCCTGAGGAGCAGCAGGGCAGGGTTCGACTGCACAGGCTCAAGTTGAGGGAGTCACTCCGGCTGGACTCGGAATCAGTGGAACACTGGTGCTCTGGCTCTGCTACTTACCTGCCACTGACTTACCTGCTTTTACAGTCAACTTAGCTCTTGGTTGCTTCAGCCACACACTAACAAAATTATCCTGCTCTCTCCGCCTTAGTGTCTGTGGGTATGGCAGGCGAGTCCCCATTCTGACAGGTGATGTTCCGCTGATCCATGATGCTGTGTCTCCTGTCACATCTTGCAATGACACTCCAGATCTCCTTCTCAGGATCAGTCATCTGGGGTTGTGCACTAGGTGACAGGCTAGGTATCACAGAGGGCTAAACTGTTGCACCAGGGCCCCAGTTTTCTGAACTCCCATCTCCAAGTTCACAGAAGAGCTTCGGGCTAGGGACTGAGAAAGGCAGAGACAAATCCTCCCTCTCTCCAACCCAGTGGCCCAAGAACTCTCCAGCTGTGGCTAGGAGTCTGGCATGGGGTCCCTCCTCAGTGGAGGCTGGTTAGTCCCAGGGCCCACAGTCCCCAGTCCTGCTGGTCCAGCAGGTACACGAGTGGTTGAGCTGCTGCCCGACCTGCGGGCTCGCCATCTCCACCTCCCTCCCCACGCCCAGCGGAGCCAGGCTCCGCCTGCACCGACTGCCCTACGACTGTCATCTCCCACACAGAGATGCTTACTGGTTTGTTTCTGATTGTTAACCTAGAAAGGTTAATATTAATTAATCTAGAAAACTAGAATTCAAAAAAGCAAACAGAAAGGCACCATTAACATCTTGGCATATTTGCTTTGCCTCGCCTTTCACTTTCATTTCTGCCAAATTCCCGTATCTGCCTTTGGCCTCCGGTTGCCTCTGCTTGAACCCTGCCATGGCGAACCTGCGTCCCCAGACCCTGTCTCACCCACAGCTCACACAGGACCGGGTGGCACACCCAGGGTTAAAGGCATTACGTTCCCAGTGACTGAACTGTAATGAGGCTGAGAGGCTAAATTAAAGTTTATTGCAGAATAAAGTATGTGTCGTCGACAACTGTAAGAGGCTACAATGAAATGCCTTCTAGAACTTGGCAACACTATTATATAGGGTCAAAGTAGTAGAATGCACACACAGTAGATGAGATTAGCTGTCTGCAGAAGCCACTTTAAAAGACGAGCTGTCTTGTGAAGGTGGGAAGAGCTAGCCTTGACTGCGAGTTGGAAGCGGCACTGGCCTAATCAAAGCACTGGGATAGCTGCAGAAAGACTGTGTGTGTGTGTGTGTGTGTGTGTGTGTGTGTGTGTGTGTGTGTACACACACGCATGCTGGGGGAGGTCTGTGGAGCTCAGAAAAGGGGGGAGAGTGAGGAAGCCTGTGGACGTTTCTCTGAGACTGCCTGGAGAGTAGCACCCTGGGGCAGATGTGGGCCTCTGGGGAGGGGTTCACTGGGTTGGGGACAGGGGTGGACCCCTGCTGCCCTCCTCCCAGGCTCCCTGAGCAGGCACCCTACTCAGCCTCCAAGTAGACTGAGGGCAGGAAGGTGCTGCAGGACCACAGAGGCCAGGGGCTGAGCGCACGGGCTCCAGAGCCAGAAACTAGGTTCAGATCCTGACTTCTCCTACTTACAAGCTGTGCTACTTGGGGCAAAAATATTTCCTTCCTGACTGCTTTTCCTGGTTGTGAAATGGGGTCGCTGTGAGGATTCCCCATAGAAAGCAGTAAGGCAGGTGATGAGCTATAATTATTAATAATACTAATGATATTATCACTATGACTAATAAAAGAAGTTACTTAGGAATCTCAGTGAGGTTATTATAAATGTCAGCCCCACAAGCTGTTCTTTTCTGGCTGTGCTAAAGGCAAAATCTGAGCTCCCAGGCTGGCCAGCCTGCAGTGTGGGCACCAGCCCGGGCAACCACGGGCTGCCTGCCCGCAGACCTGTGGTCAGACTGTCTCACATGACGAGTGTGAACTGACTACAAAGCCTGCAGCTTTGTGTGGAAGAATCACTGTCTGGGAGAATGTGTGATTTGTATCAGCCTAATACAGCCAACAAAAAGCTTTTATTAGGAAGGGTTCGGGGAGTCAGCCCAAGCAGTACATTAGGGGTGACAACACTTACCTGCACTTTGTGAAGTTTTTGTAAAGTTTAAATGAGATAATGATGTAAACTGCTTACTTCCTGGCACAGTATAAGCCCACACTATAAATGTTTCACATTTTACAAATGCAGTTTTGTTTTCAGTTCATTGTGTTATTTAAATCAGAACCTCTCAAAAGGGGGAGACTGCAGGGAAAGAATGTTCCGAACTCCAAAATAACAAATCTGTGCTGGTACAAAAGGAAAAAAATCACGTTTATTGCACAAGGTAGTTATTTTCCTAAAGTCTTATACAGAAAGGAAAGTCAAGCTGTCTGTAGGAAAACAATGTCATTTTAGGAAATTACAGAATGGTCAACATTGTGCTTAAAATTTAAAACAGATTTTAAAAACAGCACAGTTAGTGAATATTTTAAGGTATGAACGGCCTAAAAAGTGTGTGTGAACAAAGTAACATGGGGGCTCCACACCCAAACCTCCAGTGACGTTTGCTGCCCAACCTGTTCAGTGTTGAGAGAGAACCGTACCGACCCCAATAGAAAAAGGCACTCGAAGCGCTAACAGAAACACGGCCCTGTTCGAACACAGTCCACTCTCAATTATCTGGGATACTTAAAGGAGTCCGTGACATACAAAATTTTCAAAAGGTACATAACTCCAAAATTCTGAGAAGTTCTCTCGTACTTGTGCTTGGACGTGGGGCACACCGAGCCCCCTGGGACCGCAGCCCTGGCAGGTGACAGGAATTCCCGCCTCCTGCCCCCTCTCCTCAGGGGCAACACACTAACCGCACATCACTTTCTAAGAGGCCTACAACACAACTGGCCACCTTAATGTTGGTTCACAGCTCCTCTGGAGAGGGAAATAGGAAAGAAGACTGTTAAAAATTTTTTTCATGTAAAAAGCCAAAATGTTTCAATAAAATTTAGCAAACAACATGGAATAACCAAAAACCAACTGTATAAATATTATTTTATCTTACACCATTTTTTTTGCCTAGTAGTATTTATACTGCCAGTATTTAAATACACCTGGTATTTTGACAGCTTTCTAAATTATCCGGTTACATCCTATGACCCAAATAGAGAAATTTGCATAAAAGGAGTTGTTATGATCAGTTCCCAAACAGTGTGATGCATCTAACAGGCCAGGAAGTGGAGGTTAAGAAATAAAAGCCCACCCGCAAGTCGAATCCCAAAGGTGCTTCGGGACAGCTTCCAGTCTGGCTCCGGCCTCAGCGCTCCTTCACTTTGGGCGCTGGCACCGTAACCTGCAGGTCCTCCCTTTGTAGGGGGCAACCTGTTTTCCTTCAGAGTTTCCCTCAAATTCTCTTTTCGGACCCTGAAAATTACAGGGTTAAAAATATATCTGGATATGATGGTAAAGCCTTATTTGTTACCAACTAACTACAACCACAAAGCATTTTAATTCTTTTGTCATTTCTCAGAAAAGTTAGAATTATTTGAAACCTGAAAATTCTAAAGTAAATTTTGGTTAAATAAGAAAGCCAAATTCCACATAGCACTTATTTTCTATCTTCTACCTAACAGCTTATTATCAACTTTCAAAAAGTAGGCATGGGGCCGGGTTTCCACCACAGCCCGAGGAGGCAGCCTCTCAGCCACACAGCCGTGCCTGCACACCTCCAACCACCAGGGCCAGACCGTAAGACTGTCGTCCCTCGGTGCACGAGTGTCAACCAAAAAGCTACTTAACATGACTGTGTCCGATGATATAATACATGTCTAAACGTTTTCTAAGGTGCCTATAAATATGATTATACAAATGAGTAATATAATATCAGGATTACAGAGAAATTCTTTTATATAATATAGAACAGAATAGGCCTAGAACTGAAGTTGAAACTACATGTTTTTATATCCTTATCAGTTGTTTTGGAATGCAAGCATAAAAAAAAACAATTCTGGTTCGATCATATACGATTTTCTAGAGAATTATTAATATCAACAGTGCTAGGACAAAAGAAATTCTTGCTTGTGCTTGTTTAGAAAAGGTTATTTTGAGATCCAGGAGCATCTAATATTTAGAATCCAATGGAACATCTCCAATTCTATAAAACAGTAGTAAGGAAAGCTTAGTGAGTTTTTAATTATAAAGAGATTGTGCAAATATTTAAAGTGATATCAACCATTATTAAATCCAAAAATTCCATTAAAATTGTGGCTATTCTGAATGGCAGTTCAGGAGTTTAAAAGTTATAGATATTACTGAAAAAGGGCCCAACCCTGACACAGCCAGCTTCAGAACTGTGGCCCTGCGACCATGCATTTCCATGGCTTTAAAGACCTTGCGGTTGAATCCAATTAGTGGAAGGGACAGGGGTGTGGGCCCAGAGCAGAGAACAGGTAGGAACGGCACAGAAAGAGGGCCCTCTGAGCACACACTAGGGAATCCAATGAGCTTACCCACTGGGGGCGGGTGGGGGTGCAGACAGGGCCCTGATGTTGCTGTCACCACCCCGAACACACAGCGGCTGACTGCACAGCTCTGGGCTCGCCTTCAGCTGGCCACGCAATCACAGAGGCACTGAGAACCCCACGCAGGCTCAGCGGATGTCTGTCCCTAAGCCACCTGGGCTGGGTGGGCCAGGCTGGTGGGGAAGCCCCTGGCTGTACCCCCTCCACCCCCACCCTCTCCTTTGCCCTCCTGTTCCTGCAGCTCTTCTCACCACCTTACTGGTTTGACTTGTGAGTCCTTACATTTCAGTGAGTGGGAACCTTACGCTGCACTCACACCTGCATAAAAAGTTTTAATGGACACTGTTCTCGCAGGGATATGCACACTCTGCCTTCTAAACTCTGTGGGTGTTCTGGGCACTTCAGCCTAATAAAGCATTCTAGCCAGTCACTGGAACTACATGTACAACTAGGAAAGCAGGTTCTGCCTAGAGTGATTTGTGAGGGAAGCCAAGTGGAGGCTTCAGAGAAAAACACAACAGGCATCTTCTTATTTTTTAAAATACAAGCTAATGCAGCACACAAGAGGGGCGCCATAGTGGGGACACAGCGTGAAATAACACCGCAAGGGCACACTCACGGACAGTTAGGGTATAAGAACTACTTCTCTATCTCCAACTCTTGACAGTTCGAGTTTCACTAGGCCATATGTTAAATTTCCCCGATTCTTAGCTATGTCTCACAGGGAGGAGATTTGGAGAAATGGCAGATAACCAACTCGCACAAGAACACCTGGTGTAAATGGAGATGAGGAGTAGAATTCTGAAGAGAGCTAAATAAGAAAGAATTACTCACTATTTTGCATGTGTAAGAAGAGAGGACATGTACAACAGACCATGAATATTACTGTAGTAAAGTGAGTGAATATTACACAAACTATTTTCTCCTGACTCAGCAGTGAACTATTTCAACTGCTTTTGCATTTGCATAAAAAAACATGCATCATACTGAATGCTAACCCATTTCTCACCCAAGCCATTCTAAAGCTTCATACAACCAAATGAAGCAAATTCATCAAACCTATTAGATTCATTCCTAATCTCTAAAGGACTGCTGTCTTTAGCATTTCCAGGCTAACTAAAACTATTACTGATATTTTCTTAAGACATCAGATGTGGCTGCCTCCTAAATATAATACCTATATAACTTCCTAAAAGTTTTTTTTTAGATTTCAAGAACAATTAAGAAAAGCAGGGAAATGTTAGGAAACCCACCCAAGAGAGCAGCTCAAATGCTGTAACACATTCCCCAGCTACAAGCCCAGTACATCTTTCCTTCCCCTGGGTTCCCAGAGCACTCTGGGTAATGTTATCTGTGTGTGTTATCTCCACTGCTGCGCTATGGTTCCCTTCATGTGGGGAACCAGGTCTTATTCATTCTGTTTCCCCATAGCACACTGCAGAGCACAGGTGGCTCAGCTAGAGCTGGATTGAGCATGAAACTGAGGATGTCATCTCTTTGTAAATGAAAGTCGAGCGCAGCCCAGGTCATCGTGGGTTGTTCAGACACTGGCTAAGTAGCAGCCAAGCTGGACCCCCTTACCCTCCTAGAAGCCAGGCAGCTGGCCCCAACCCAAGCAGATGGTGGGGAGAAGGGGAAAGAGACAGAATGGCATCTACCAGGGCACAGGCTGCTCCCCTCACAGGAGCCAATTCCCACAAGGGGCTAGCAGGGCCGGAGGGGTGCCTGTCAGCATGCCAGATGGAATGCCAAGGCTTTTCTGTGAAGAGCTGGGCATTCAGAAAGCACTGTCTCCTTCACTCGGGTGGCTCCTCAACTTGGTCCATTATAGTCTGTGATCATCACTTCATCACTTACAAAGTTCCTGGTGAAATTAAGGCTGGGTCATAATTCATGACACCAGATGCTACATAGAAAATAAGTCAGGTTATAAAAGAAAATAAATATCATAGTTATAATGCTAATTTAAGAGGGAAGCTAATCAGCCGACCACTGAATTGCTACGGTTGTTAGGGGTAGAAAATACCAATGGCACTGGAAAAATGATCCAGCCAATGAAAGTACAAAAGCTCAGCTGGGACCAGAGGGCACGGCCTCCCTCCCGACTCTCACACGGTGGTCTCTATCGTCTCGATCACCTCCAGGTCAGACTGCGACGGAGAGAGGAGGGTGCACTCATCAGGTTCCCAGCTGCTCTCTGGACTGTAATCTTCCTCTGAGCTCAGTTCTGCTCCCTCTTCTGTGTCCTCATCACACGATTCCACATAGTGAGCCCCGATGGCATTGATCCCAGAGTCCTCAGAACTTGAGGGAGAAGAGCAGTGATCTGTTTTTGGTGTATTGCTATCTTTTGAAATTAAGGCATCGTGTGCAGAGACCTCCTGAGGGCTCGTTTTGTGGGACTGTGGTGCCGGCTGCTTCTGCACGTAACACATCTTCCCATTAATACATTTAACCTGATAGTTGTCGATAAAGAGGTCTGAGATCATACAGTACCTTGGTGAATCAGGCGGGAGCGGAGGCTGGAAGACAGATGCAAATTTCAGAAAGTGTTCAGTGAGAGAGACTGAGATCTGAATGGTGTTTGTGGGCTCCCGAGGCTCCGCAGGGATCTCGGTGCTCGGAAGCTGCTCCACTGGGGTCATGGGCTGGTACACGTATCTGCCTGTAAGGAGCACAAAACAGGCAGTCGGGACCTCAGACTGTTACACAGAAAACAGTAACGTGGCCACAGTGGTTTCCCTCCAAGGACTCAGAATATTCTTAAAAGTATCTCGGAAACATCTCAAAAACAACAAGTAACAGAATCATTCCACATTATTTAAGCAATTAAAAATAGGGCATGGTACATAGCTTCATGGTATTTCCATCCAAAAACACTCAACACACTTACAATCTTAGTTTACAACTGAGTCTATCTAATGCCTCTGAAGTAGGGTGGGTGGCACTATAATCTTAACAACTTTAAATGATTTATTCCTCATACTAGATAGAATAAAGAATGACCATGAGATAAAATAGTAAAGACACAAGTTTAAAACAGTATCATAATCTGATAAAATTAATTTCATTTTTATCTTTAATAATTATGTTAATACATACATTTACCAACTGGAAGAATATATACCAATTTATTTTCAGAATTACAGAAGACTTTGACTTTAGGTTGCTATGTTTTAATCAGAATATACACACCCACACTTAAAAGTGATGGCCAACAGGATTGTGTCGGCCACTTCCAGTGGCTGGGGTAAGGTGCAGGGTGTGAAATGATCTCTTGCAAGACAAAGCTCATCGGTGTCCTAAGCAGGCGATGTTCTCCCTGACACCCACTCCACTGGCACTGAGCAACCTGAGGCAGGCACAGTGGGTAGGTAACCTGCTGGGTGTTTCTAGGAAACCAGGAAGCTTCCCTCGGAGCCCTCCCCTCTGGTCAGAACCCTCAGTGATTCTCACAGTTCACGTGAGAGTGAAACCTAAATGTATCAGTTCTGACAGGCCTATTTCCTTCCCTCTGACTTCCTTCAACATTTAGTAAAGCCTCCCATGTACAAAGTGCTCAGGAAACTGAGACAGAGATGAAAATTACTCAGGTTATGAGTCTAAAATGATTTGAAAATAAAAGATCTGGAAGAAAATAGCCCTAGGTGGTGTAGCTCAGTAGATTGAGCACAGGCCTGTGAACCAAAAGATTGGGGTTCGAATCTCCGTCAGGGCACAAGCCTGGGTTGCAGGCCAGTTCCCAGCAGGGGCCAGTTCCCAGCAAGGGATGCACCAGAAGCAGACATACATTGATATTTCTCTCCTTCTCTGCTTCCCTTCCTTTCCCTTCTAAAGATAAATAAATGAATTTTTTTAAAAAAAAGGCAAAATGCATTTAAAGAAAGAAAAAAAAATCTGGAAGAAAATAAAACAGAAGAACTCCCAGACAGTAGCCACAATTACGGACATCACCTTAGGATTTTCCTAATGCAGTTGACTGACCAGTCCATCCATCCGCCCCTTCTGTGAGGATCTGTGAGGATCTGTGACGGGGTTTTTGAACCTCAGCACCACTGGCATCTGGAGCAGATAATTCTCTGCTGTGCAGGAGCTGTCCTGTGCTCTAGTGTGTGTACCACATCCTTGGCCTCCCCCCCAGATACCAGCAGACACCAGACACCTCCTCCTCAGGCTCGAGGATCCAACCATCTCCGGACACTGTCACACGCCCCCGGGGCCAATCACCCCGACCGAGAACCACTATTTATGACCTTCTCACGATGCGGGTGAATTACTCACCGTGTACGACACCTGCTCCTCCTGTTGTTTTATTTCTTGGTAAGACTGAAAATTCTAGGACAGGAATCACATGTGGACTGTAGACTACCTTAATTGTTTAAATAAGTTAATTTGCAGAATAGCAATTTCAGATCAGAAATGTGAGCAGCAAACTAAGCCACAAACAGTGCAGTATTGGTAACAGATCAATCAAGCCTGCCTATATTTTTTACATCTGTTTCCTAACTTCTGTTAAAAAAAAAAAGTAGGCTTAGATGCCGCAATTTTTTGGCAACTAAATTATTTTCAAATACATTCAGCTTCATTTTGCAGTAACACGTGGAAAAGGTACACTGAAAATGTTAAGCCTTTGGGGTCCCAGGTCGCCCCCAGCCTGGACATACATCATGCAATCCCTATGGGCTGACAAAAATGCATGGGAGAAGAACCTGTCCCACCTGCCTGGGAAACTACATTTAAAACATACCAGGTATCTTCACGTCTGTGTTACCTATAAAACAGGGTACTAGTTACTCCTTGTCAGGCAAAGATCTAACAGTTTGGCCTGGTAGGCCCTCTGCCTCCAAGCACTGTCAATGGGTTTATCAGCTGAAGGGACAAAAGGTAGACCCTGCAGTCCTCCAGCCCTGAGGGATCCGAGAAAGATGTGTTCAGGACAAGGACAGAGAAGGGACTTGGAGAACTTGGGGGACTACTCCCTTCTGTCCAGAGAGTAGTGAACAAAACACCTGGAATGAAGGTTTATTCTTTTCTGTTCAGGACTAGTATTAAAATGATGGTTTTTGAGTACAGGAGGCTGTGGGTGGCAGGCACTCAAGAAACACTTGTTACAGAATGCTAATTAAGTTCATTCCAGCCCAAGGGGACCTCTGGTTGAGTTACCTACTGGTCACAGCTACAGGAAGTTCCTAGCAACTGATCCTCAGACCCAGAGGGGTCAGGGTTTTATTCAGTCCAAATATGGAAGCAATCTAGAAACCCGACTTTGGGAGTCTCTAACCACCTAATTTTAGCATGCATAGGTGCTTCTAGTCCACAATAATCTTTGCTCTGGTGTTTGCCAAACAGTGATATTCTTACTTCCCTTATTCCTTCCATATTTATTAATTAGAATTCTAGGTAAGCAAGAGCTATTCCTTCTCCCTCGTTTACTTATTCAAATATTTACTTATTATAAACACTGACTTGCAGATATTCGTTCTATTTTATAAATCGTAATCCATTACTATCATTATTTTTGTTACTCGAATTGTTCCAGATTTTTTTTAGCTCTTTACGGGCTCCTTCAAGGTAGCACATGTGTGCTTTCAACAGTACCCATACTTTTTTTTAAGACTTCCTTCCTGGCTTATCTTGTGCTTTCCCTTACTCCAGTCCAGGAGTCTGCCATTTCGTCAAAACCCCCCAGTTCCTTTTCTTTCTTTCTTTTTTTAGGATGTCTATATGATTTTTTACTGTTGTTCAAGCAGAGTGGTCTCCATGTTCCTGCCACCACACTCCCCCGCCCCCCCGCCACCTCCCACCCTCAATCCTTCTGCACTTCGGGCTTTGTCCATGGGTCCTTCACACATGTTCCCAAGTTCCTTTTCTTAAGAGCTTACATATATTTTTAAGTTTGTTCTCTGAATATTCCTGTAAAGTAGAATCTTAGTTTGCTAATGAGTCACTCAATCACAAAACTGATCTGTAGGAAAATGAAGAGAAGACAGTCTCATTACAGTACCTAACATCCATTAAAAAAATAATACAACATTTAAAATAAACTTTACAAACCCATTAATTTATCTGGAATTTTTTTCAAAGGAGCTGAAACCACTTTCTCAATAATGAAACAGATTATACAACACTGACTTAAGATCACAAAAACCAATTGTGTTCGGTAAGTAAAAAATAAATATCATGCATCTTGTTTCTTTTCAAGGAACCTGGCTCCACACTTTCAGCTATTTCTCAGCTAAAGACCAATCAAAACTACTAAACTACTAAGCAACTTCAACTATTCTTTTAAAGTCCTGGTTCATAATTTTTCTGATTATCCTCCCCTTTTGGCGTTTCAAAACACCTTGCAAGACACTAAAAAAAAAATTATGTTCTCATCCTAGTTCTTCAGTTTAAAAAAAAGGAACAGAAGAGTTAATTACTTTCTCCACATCATTTAACAAGCTAGGAGTCAGTTCCAGGACCCGGGCCCTGTGACGGCCGGTGTTCTTTCTTCACAAGGGCACTCACTCATTAATTAATAAGGGTTAGATAATGTTCTTAATTTACACTGACATTCTCCGTCATTAGCTCCAGTTAATATTCCAATTTATAACACAGTGTAAATACACAGCAGATACATTTCCTCGACAGAGTTTCTTTTGCTCGTAGAGCACAAAGAGAAGAGGAAAAACTCAAACAAAGGCAGAGAATAACTCATACTCCCAGGTAAGTTATTTATGCAGTTGCTAAAGCATTTATTTTTAGAATCAGTTGTGCATTTTGATTCTTAAAAAAGACCCTTTGAGGAGAAATGAGCTTTTTGCTTTTCCAGACGGCTTTATGACTGCCAACTGTGTGTCCCCGTGACACATGAAATGCCTTGCTCTGAGCAAACTGTGATTAGAGAGGTAAAACCATAGGAAATAAAACTGGGCGGCGGAGGGAAATGCATTCACAGCTCAGTTCGCTGATTTTATGAGTCACAATTAAGTTTATTCCCAAGGGCCTTGATTGTTAGTTATGTTAAATATTCTTATTCAGCTGTTTCTGCAGTGTGCTTTATTTACTAAGTTGAATAGCAGATCACAGCTAAAAGCAAAAGAACATACATCTACTATAACCAGTATTTTATGTGGCCTTATCTTCCACCCTGCCTCACTGGCAGGCAAGACACCAATATTTTTGTACTTCAATCTATGAGAACATTAAAGTTCATATATTGCCCAATATGTTGAAGTCCCCAATCAGAAATGTGTGCAAGACCCCAGAATTGCCATTTTTTCAAATGGTATAATCTCTTTAGTGCAGCGGAACATATTAATGTAAGGCGAAACCCTGACGGGACAGAAAATCAGAAGCATGGTTTATTTACTCACTCGCAAACACATGTTTATTGAGTGTCTGCCGTGTCTGTACTGCCAAATCAGATGTCCTGGGAAATAAAAGGAAGTACTACACGCAGTCATGCTTCAAGGAGCTGCCAGTCAAATGGGGGGGGGGAGATAAAAATAAAGTAGAATTAAACAAGAGTTGGGTGAAACTGTACGAATATATACACAGGGGCATTCGTTCACCCAGCAGTGAAACAGGACTGCAGGCCCGGCTGGAGGATTTTACATGACGGCTGGAAGACACAGGCCGGCGGAGCAGCAAGCAGAACCATGGCCGACCCGTTTCAGAGCA